ACCACCACTTACCCAGTCAGCTACATGCTGGGGAAGCCCTTCCACCCTTTCCACTTGGTGATGAGAGTGTTCTTCATGCTTTAACACGCTCGCCTCTCACTCTCTGCCTTTTTTCTCGGCCCTGGTCTCATTCTTGCAGTTGCTGCAGCTGCCACATCACCAACTTCATCGTGTCCTGTATCATCCATCCTATGTCCTACTGCCTTGCCGTCTTCGTCTCCACGTCTATTTCGTCTACGCCGTGACATCACCGTCATCCGTCATATGTCACCATGCCAGAAAATAAGACCACATTGAAGAAGAAGCCTGTCAATCAGGCACTGCCCGCAGTAATGCCGCCAGCGCCAGCATCTGCACCCGCATCAAAACCAGCAGCAGCATCATCGCCACCACTGCCAGTATCTGAAGAGAGCCTTGTGAAGCTCATCACTCTCGCCACGTGATCACCGGACTCACCATTAGGCCTCATTTGGGCGCACGCCTTTCGGGAAGAGTCAAGGGATGGATTTCAAAGGGGAACAGAGCTTTTCAAGGACAAGGATGTGAAGCAGGCATTTCGTGATGGTGCAGATGAAGGACAGATAATGGGAATACTGAATGAAAGGATCGTCTGAACCCCAGCACAGGTTCCAGTGTTTTGCATGTGAGATTGCACTGCAAATCCCACGAAAACGTGTTTGCATTTGTATTTCATGACCTGAAGTAACCATTTTGGGTTGATTTTCGGTGTAGAACACATGATATCAGCCACAAACTACAAGTACAAACAGGTTTTCATAAGATTTTGAGTGCAATCTCACATGCAAAGCACTGTCAGATGATCCTTGGTGCACGTCATTGCTTAGTCATCATTTTTAGCGAAAATGAAGATTTGTATGTCACTCTGCCAAATCTGGTCCAAATGATATGGTTTTTTTTTGCAGTATGCACTGCTTACAGCCGATTTCACATCTATGTGGAATTACAAAAAAAAAAGTGGGCCCAAGGACCCTAGAATCAAATGACATAATATCTTCACATGCGCAATTTCTAAAGAATACACATCACTTTCGTTTTGCCTCCTAGAACAGCTGTCGCCCCTCCATCCCTACCTTGGTTCACACTCTACAAAGGCTCGATTTCTCTCAAAAATGTGTCTCAATTCATGCCCTCAAGAGAAATGACATCCAGCACGCTGCATTCATGAATACCATTGCCAAAGAAGTTCCACGACCTGATATAATCATGTTTGTGAGGCTGCACGAAATCAAAAGACATTGGGAAGAACACAAGGTTGGGCTTTAGTTGGAAGGAGATGTGTGCAGAGAAGGTTCTTTGTTCAAGGACAGCAGTACATAGATGCTGTACATGTTCTGTTCTCACCACTCGTTTAGCTGACTTCTCAATGTGCGGCATTTCAACAAATATAATGACTGGTTTCCCCCCAGGTGCAAAAAGTATTGTATTCTTGACTAGGTCTTTGTATTCTTCATAGTTAACAACATCAGGGGCATCACTTGGGCGTCACCTTGCCTAGATATCGTATCATACAATAGATTAGGGACAGGAATTGGGAGGCCTTGACGTCCTGCGTTTGTTTCTTGCCTTTGCCAGTGGTTCCAGCTTTGTAGAACATGAGTCGAGCAACAACAGAAAGATTGATTGCATTAGGTTCACTGCTAGCAGGAGTGTCTAGATCTACCATAATGAGGAACTTGGCAGACGTGACTGAGTGCAAACACGATTGTGGATTTGGGGTCCCAGCCTTCAGTTAAAGCTAATAGGTACAAACAGCCTTTTTTTTTTGGGGGGATTCCGCATAGATTTGAAATCGGCTGTAATTGTAGGATCATTCTGAAATGAGGATAAATGTAGGTAAATACAAATAAATAGTCCGAAATGACATGTGTAGTCTCAGGAAACATTGGTTTCTGTATACTGAACTTGAATCCAAATGATATCACATAGTTAAAAACAAATGCAAACAGAACTACCGTGCGCAAGGTGAAATTGTTTGCACATGTTGAATGATTAGTAATCCATGTTGGTGAAAATGAAAATTTCTACCTAGCTCTGCCAAATCTGGTCCAAATGATATGGTTTTTTTTGCAGTATGCACTCCCCATTTGTAGGATCATTCTGAAATGAGGCTAAATGTAGGTAAATACAAATAAATAGTGTGAAACCACACCTGTAGTCTCACTAAACTTTGGTTTCTGCATACTGAACTTGAATCCACATGATACCACATGATTAAAAACAAATGCAAACAGATTTACCACACAGGAGGTAAAATTGTTTGCACATGTTGAATGATTAGTAATCTATCTTGGTGGAAATGAGGATTTCTGCGTAGTTCTGCCACTTCTGGTCCAAATGACATGTTTTTTTTGCAGTATGCACTCCTTAATTGTAGGATCATTCTGAAATGAGGATAAATGTAGGTAAATACAAATAAATAGTCAATGACATATGTAGTATATCTGTAAGTTTGGTTTGCAGGTTGAAGTTGAACCCTATGATATCACATGGTGTAAAATAAAGACAAACAGATTTACTGTGCATGCAGTGAAATTGTTTGCACATATTGAATGTTTAGTAATCCATCTTGGTAGAAATCTTTGTTTCTACCTAGCTCTGCCGCTTCTGGTCCAAATGACACAGTTTTTTTTGCAGTATGCACTCCTTAATTATAGGATCATTTGTGCATTTCCAAATATGGTATATAGCCAAGAATGGCTACAAAATAACCAAAAAATCAGAAAAAAATTAGGGGTGGTGCTTCCTGTTGGTGACGACATCAGGGGTTATGGTGCATTTCCAATCTGGTAATATAGCCTAAAATAGCCAGAAGATAGGCAAAAAAATTGGAAAAAAAGGGAGGGTGATGCTCACTGTTGGTGACCACATCAGGGGTCATTTTCAGGGTCTGGGTCCATTTCCAAATGTGGTAATATAGCCTAACATATATAGCCAAAAAATCAGAAAAAAATGGGGGATGGTGCTCATTGCTGGTGATAACATTGGGTAATGTTGTCAGGGTCCAGAGTTGAGTTCCAAATATGGTATTATATCCAAAAATAGCTGGAAAATAGCGGAAAGATTGCAAAAAAAATATGAATGGTGTATAGAACATCAGGCACTGCCTTCAAGGTCCACTTCTGGGTCCATCCTAAAAAGAAAATATCACCTAGTTTGACCAAAAAGTGAAGAAAACCAAGAGGAGAATGATTTTATCTATCAGGGTTCAACAGTTTAACTGTGCATGCAGTGAACCTGTTTGCACATATTGAATGCTTAGTAATCTATTTTGTTTCTACCTAACTCTGCCAATTCTGGTCCAAATGACATGGATTTTTTTACAGTATGCACTCTTCATTTGTAGAATTATTCTGAAATGAGAATAAATGTAGGTAAATACAAATAAATAGTCTGATATCATTAGCCCATCCCACTTGGCTTTGAATGACCTGGTCTTTTTACAACAGATATATCAAATATATGCTTCTACTACTATAAAGTAACAAGGGCATTAAACAAATACAAATAAACAATTACAATGAAACATCTTTAACTCCAGCCTTTTGTAGTCTATTGGTAAACTTTATAGTCTATATCCAACTTTGTAGTCCATATTCAAGGTTTGTAGTCTTTTATTGTCTATTGATAAACTTTGTAGTATATGTCCAACTTTTATAATTCTTTGTAGTTAATTAGACAATGTCCACACTGGTGGTGATTACATTAGATAATGTGTTCAGAGTCCAGGGTGGACATCCAAATATGGTAATCTGTCCAAAAATAGTCATAAAATGGCAGAAAAATTAGAGAAAATCAAGGGATGGTGCTGATTATGAGTGATGATGTTGGGTAACAGTTTCAGACTCTAGAGTGGACTTCCAAATATGGCAATGTATCTGTGTATAACCAGAAAATGAGCAAAAAATGAGAAAAACATCAATATATTTCTCATTAATGGTGATGATGCTGGGGTACTCTGTTTAGGGTTCGGAGCAACATTTAAATAGGGAAATTTAATAGTTTGTGGTAAAGACATAGCTAGAAAATCAGAAAAAAGCAGAAAAAAATAAAAATAGGTTACTTCACCTCTGCAAAAAAGGACTCGTTTCTGCCATGCTTGCAATGGCCTCTTACACAAGTGTAGGAATGATCTAGATATTTCTCAGTGGTATTGTACTTGTATTTTGATAGACTGAAATACAGGAAGTAGGACATCTTACTTTTTAACCCAACTTTGACAATCTTAAGTTCTCTGAACTAAGCAGTGTTTCTTGAGTGAATTGATAAGGCTTCACGCTATCAATTAACTTTGACCAATCATTAAAGCTACACACTAACAATCACGGTCATCAAGCAACACAATCAATGAATGGTTAAGACTCTCCACATTTCTAGGATATTACTTAGCTATATTCATATCCAACTCTACGCTTCTGACTCCACGTAAAAGTAGTTACTGGCATTTGTATTCATAGGAATACACCAATGTAGAGCCGTGCACTCTAACAGCCAGTTGGCAAATTATACCCCTGAAGCTGGACAACGCAAGTGAAGGCCCCATAAGTGAGAGCGGGTGTGACTGGTTCTGGGACTTTGAGTTGTCAACCCCATGGGAACATGGAATGGACAGAGGCTTTACCATCTCTGAGCACACATGTTCCACATTCAATTTGGATCTTGCCAACTGGTCCTCACTTATTGACGAAATCGCCACAAATCATCCATTTCCACAGAACTCTGCCTGCCCTTCCCCTTACGACTGAGATGCCATTAATTGGAAGTTTTCTGACTGTGCTGAGCTTCAAGGTGCTGAGGGCCTTGCCATGAGGATGGCAATTGATTATCTAGATTTCATTGCCTGGTGGACGGCATCCATTTCTAGGTGGGAGGCCGATCTTGACCCACAAGTCACTGATCAGATCAAAGGTCTACATCTCAGTCAATTCTGGAAACAAGGTGTCTTAGTGGATCTAGAACAATGCTGGTAGGAGGTTAACATTCCGAATCTGCTGTCAAATGGACACTAGTGCCTACCACTTTTATGATAAAACATAGGCAGTTGCTGTTAGGATCCATCCTATTCCTTGGATAGGGCACGAGATGAGGTAGAGGTCGACGTAGACACAAGTATTAGTGACCTTACCCCAACAACACTGAGCCCCCTGACCATACAAACAGGCCATGGTTGATGGTGCCTGCTGATGAGCCGATGTATATGTTGACCCCATCAAAGCTGGCTCGGCCACCCATATCTTCTTGAGGAGTGGTTCTGTGTGCCGGCCGACCAGCCTAATGATGAATTGACCCTGCTGAAATTGCCTTGGATTGTGGGTCAGCTGAACAGCTTTTGATTCCTCACAATATGGATCAGCCCACTTGCCGCACCCTGGCTCGGCAAAGTCAGTTTACATACCCGAGGTCATGAATCTCATTGTGAGCCCCGAGCAGAGATGAGGCCGGCCCCCATCTGTTGCCATCTCCAGCCTGGATATGGCCTGGCCCAGTCGGCACCACACTCCCTACCATTCTTTGGCTTGTCTCCAATTAAACAATTTATGTTGCCATCTGTCCCGTGATGATAGCCAGCCTGGCTAACACATGGCCTAACTAAGTTTACTTGTTCATATGTTGTACCAACCCCCCAGTGTTCTTTGCTATGTCCTGCATTCAAAATCACCCTCTGGTTTTATGTTTGCATCAGGCCAGTGAGTACATTAGCTGGTCCTGTATTCTGGTGCAAAGTTACTGAGCAGACAAGGTCATTGAATCTGTATAAATGCATGGAAACAGCCAATCAAACATGTTCAGATGCAAAATAATGGAGCCGACAAGTGGGAAATAGTACAAATACCCGGGTTTCACCTTGAGTGATTGAGCCGATTCCATATTAAATCATTGTGTCTGGGCCAGTGCATTTTTCAGGGAAAGGATGTGTGAGCTGGCACCATGTCCGGGTGAAATTACACCAAGCAGACATGAATTACATCAGTAAAGGTGCACATCAGGTGATGCAGGCATTTAAATCCCAAACTGTTGAAGTACGTTGGCTGGTGCCATGTCCGGATGCAAAATAATCGAGCAGACAAGTGAATGAAATTGGTAAAAATGCCTGGGCTGCACATCAGGTGATATTAAATTGTTGAAGTACTTTCAAAGGGCTGGGAAAACAACCGAGCAGACAAGTGAATTAAATCAATAAAATTGCCCAGGCTGCATCTCACATAATAGAACATTTTTAATATTAAATTGTTGAAGTACTTTGGCTTGTGCCGAGGCTGGGTGGAAAATAACCGAGCAGACAAGTGGATTAAATCAGTAAAAGTGCCCAGGTTATGTCTCGGATAATAGAGCCGATCCAATATTAAATTGGTGAAGTACTTTGGCTGGTGCCAAGGCCGAGTGGAAAATAACCGAGCAGATAAGTGAATTAAATCGGCAAAAGTGCCCGGGCTGAGTCTTGGATCATAGAGCCGATTTAATATTAAATTGTTGAAGTACTTTGACTGGTGCCAAGGCCGGGTGGAAAATAACCGAGCAGACAAGTGAATTAAATCGGTAAAAGTGCCCAGGCTGAGTCTTGGGTAATAGAGCCGATTTAATATTAAATTGTTGAAGTACTTTGGCTGGTGCCGAGGCCGGGTGGAAAATAACCGAGCAGACAAGTGAATTAAATCGGTAAAAGTGCCCGGGCTGATGTCTCGGATAATAGAGCCGATTTAATATTAAATTGGTGAAGTACTTTGGCTGGTGCCAAGGCCGAGTGGAAAATAACCGAGCAGACAAGTGAATTAAATCGGTAAAAGTGCCCGGGCTGAGTCTCGGATAATAGAGCCGATTTACTATTAAATTGTTGAAGTACTTTGGCTGGTGCCAAGGCCGGGTGAAAAATAACCGAGCAGACAAGTGAATTAAATCGGTAAAAGTGCCCAGGCTACGTCTTGGGTAATAGAGCCGATTTAATATTAAATTGGTGAAGTACTTTGGCTGGTGCCAAGGCCGGGTGGAAAATAACCGAGCAGACAAGTGAATTAAATCGGTAAAAGTGCCCGGGCTGAGTCTCGGATAATAGAGCCGATTTACTATTAAATTGTTGAAGTACTTTGGCTGGTGCCAAGGCCGGGTGAAAAATAACCGAGCAGACAAGTGAATTAAATCAGTAAAAGTGCCCAGGCTGAGTCTCGGGTAATAGAGCCGATTTAATATTAAATTGTTGAAGTACTTTGGCTGGTGCCGAGGCCGGGTGAAAAATAACCGAGCAGACAAGTGAATTAAATCAGTAAAAGTGCCCGGGCTGAGTCTCGGATAATAGAGCCGATTTACTATTAAATTGTTGAAGTACTTTGGCTGGTGCCAAGGCCGGGTGAAAAATAACCGAGCAGACAAGTGAATTAAATCAGCAAAAGTGCCCAGGCTACATCTTGGATAATAGAGCCGATTTAATATTAAATTGGTGAAGTACTTTGGCTGGTGCCGAGGCTGGGTGGAAAATAACCGAGCAGACAAGTGAATTAAATTGGTAAAAGTGCCCGGGCTGCATCTCGGGTAATAGAGCCGATTTAATATTAAATTGTTGAAGTACTTTAACTGGTGCCGAGGCCGGGTGAAATATGACCAAGCAGACAAATGAATTGAATTGGTAACATTGCCCAGGCTGCGTCTCGCATAATAGAACCTGTTTAATATTAAATTGTTGAAGTACTTTGGCTGGGTGGAAAACAACCGAGCAGACAAGTGAATTAAATCGATAAAAGTGCCCAGGCTGCATGTCAAATAATAGAGCCGATTCAATATTAAATTGGTGAAGTACTTTGGCTGGTGCCGAGGCTGGGTGGAAAATAACCGAGCAGACAAGTCAATTACATTGGTAAAAGTGCCCGGGCTGCATCTCGGGTAATAGAGCCGATTTAATATTAAATTGGTGAAGTACTTTAACTGGTGCCGTGTCCAGATGCGAGATCACAGAGCAGACAAATAAACCAAATTGGTAAAAACGCTTGGGCTGCATGTCAGGTGATGCTGGTAATTTCATATTAAATTGTTGAATTACCTTAGTTGGTCCGGGTGCAAAATCATGGAGCAGACAAGTGCATTAAATCGGTAAAAATGCCCGGGCTGCATCTTGGATGACAGAACCGATTTCATATTAAACTGTCCAAGTATTTCAGCTGCTGCCATGTCCAGATGCATAATCACCAAGCAGACAAGTGAACCAGATTAGCAAAAATGCCCAGGCCTCACCCCGGGTAATGCTAGTGATTAAATATTAAAGTCCTTCAGCCACCCCTGTGCCCGGCTGCAAAGCCACAACTGAGTGGATTCAATTGGTAAAAATGCCCGGAAGTACCTCAACCATGCTTTGTTCAAGTGGACCACTACCGAGCCTACAAGTGAAGTATATCACTGAACATGCCTGGGTTGCATCCGTATCATTTCAGTCTGGGTGTAATATTACCGAGCAGACAAGATAACACAACTCATGAGAGTTGTTCCCCGAGCTCGGAGCCATTCATACACCAATGCCAAAGAGACAAGTTAGTTATAACTTTCACACCATCTGCCTGGTGCCCCCTCTCAATGCCATCATTGTTGACCGACAATTACTAAATCAGGCACTAGTTTCTCCAATAGGTGTAATCCCGCCCCCATTCTGCCCACCAGTCATGAGTATAGTATTTCCACTGTTACTGGACTATTTCTCTCCAAACAAGTTCCTAATCATATCTTGGTGGTGTTTATTATATATGATGTGGGGTTCACTTAAGGCTGGGGTAGCTAGTAGGTTGTTCAAAGAGTATTGATCAGGTAAGGAAGGCAGGATGTTTTGAATATGTGTTTTGGTGGATACAGAGATATGGCTAGAATGTTAGTGACTATCCACGTACCATTGTCCTGCTCCATATATAATCTTCTGAAATCATTATCTTGTCTTGTCAATCTCTGTAATTCCTTTTAAACTTCTTTCTAGCTATCCCATCCCTACCTCCAACCCACTTTTGACTCTCATTGGTGAAACTGTGGTGATGTAACGAATGGATACAATGTATTCCTCCCTCCTCTCCATGCACCATTTACCAGGTAAGTTCTCCAATTAGAACCTTATATCTTCATGTCTTGCAAATAATAATTGAACATATTCCTCTGGACTCCCATGGGATTTATATGTCTTCTGGGCATTTTGTGCAATACAGATACTCAGAACCCCAAATGGCTATTCTGAGCTACCACAAATTAAGCATATATAA